GAGGGCTGCGGCTGCCGGACAATCCCTTCATGGCTGGCGGGGAGCGGGGCCCAAAGTCATCTAACGCATATGGCTGTGCAGTGGCAGGGCTCAGGGGAAGGCCTGGAAGGACAGAACACAACAGAACCTGTCAGACGTTCCAGCTGGGAGGAGCAGCACCACGTGCACCTTTAGCAGTCATTGTTTCTTGTTGTAAGAACAATGGGAAAAAGCATTCTCTCTTGTTCATAGAGTCACAGACAGGTTTGAGTTGGGAAGGGACCTTCCAAGGTCACCCAGTCCAACCCCCTGCAGGGAGCAGGGACATCCCCAGCTAGAGCAGGGTGCTCAGAGCCCCGGCCAACCTCCCCTGGGATGGTTCCAGGGATGGGGCAGCGACCACCTCTCTGGGCAGCCTGGGCCAGGGGCTCACCACCCTCAGTGTCAAACATTTCTCCCTTCTCTCTGGTCTAAATCTCCCTTTTTCATTTTAAATTCATCACCCCTTGGCCTGTCCCAACAGGCTTAACCTTTCCCATGTCCAACACAGTGGTAGAGGATACCCAAATAAAAAAAAAGAAAATTATCTTGTTCCACTAGCTGGAAAACAGACACAAGGAAAGTTTTCATATGCAAAATTCACTGTCTTTCCCAAATTCACAGCCAGACAGGTACCACCACCAACAATGTGAAACCTCAGGTCTGAAAACATCCATGGACAGAGGCCTCAATTACTTATATGCATGTTTTCAGAGCCAAATAAACACATTAAATAGATCATGCCCTTGATGAAGCAATTGCTGGGTTACTTTGGGCCAAATACAAAGTGTGGTGCAATGAACAGGAAACTTTTATCTGTCTTCAAGCCACATCTCCCCATGCCTGAAGTGCAGCTTTACTTGTCCCATCCAACCTCGTATTCTATGATTCCATGAAAACTGTTCAGGAGCAGGAGATTTAAAAGAGGAGGACATAAAGACAGCAAAGATCAGAGAGTGATAGAAAAACTAAACCCAAACCAAAAGGGAGCAACAAACCTGTGCAACAAAAGAAGACTGACAAGACAGGCTCCAAAACCTGGGAGAAATAGAAATGCAGAGTACAAACTGTTTATTCCCTCCTCTTAGACTGCTGTATGGATTATGAGAGGTTGTTTGGGGTCTTTTCTGCTGCAACAGCACTGGAAACATTTCTTTTATCATGTCAACCAAAAAACTTGATGATTTTTTTCTAAATTAACTAAAATATAGCTTCATTTAACCTTAATTATAGTTACTGCTACAATATTGAAACTGTAATAAATTAGGAAAAAAAGCCAGGACTGTACCACAGCAAACCTTCCAGGAAGGAAACAATAAGCAGAATATTCTCTGCACTGACAAAAAGAACGGTGCTTTTCTTAAAGATTTAGTGGACAATTCTTCTGCACAGAAAAAATCCCCAACACCGTCCCTGAATCACTCTCACACCTCAATCCTGCTCTAATATGTTAACAGAGGTCTAGAAAAAAACCCCACCTTACAGCCTCTGCTTCCACCAGGTTTTTTTTTCCAAAAAAATATACATCATTTTCCATAATTGTGTTGGCTGAAGCTCTGAAGCCATGCTCAGAGCAATTAACAGCTGGGGACAGGGCTAGCTGCTCAGGCCATCAGGAGGAAGCCAATTAAGATTTTTATTGTGGTGCTATTTTTTTGGCCAAACTAGGAACATTTAATTACTCATGAAATAAGGCAATTTATGAACATACTGCATATTAATAAACAGTGGAAATAGCAATTCTATGGACAGCAGACCAAAACCACTTGATCGCCCAGGAGGAAATGAGATGTTAAATAGATGCAGCATTGTCAGGCTGGAGAATGCTCATTGCTTTCAACATTCATCTTACGTTTGCTTTTGTTTTCTTGAGGCTGCCCTGGGTAAGAAGGATCCAAATCTATTCATCCTTGCTGCTAACGTGGGGTCCTGAGCACACAGTTGGTGGGAATAACTTTGTGGCTAGAAAAATGCATAATTGATCCTTATGTAATTAAAGTGAAAATACATGCAAAATAACAAACCCCGAATGCATAAATGTACATTTTTATAAGTTTTACTTATCTATATTGTCTGCTGAGGTGTTCCAGATTTATTCATAAAACATGTCTTCAAGAAACAAGTTTTTTCCCTTAGATAGATGTGAAAACCTCCCTTATAAAAGTTTGACTGATATGCAGCACAGTCCCTCCAGTTTTATCTCACGAGACTGCAGAATTATGGTTCTTACATTTTTAACAGGAAGCCATGAAAAGCAATCAGGTAATGAATGGTTTCACTAAAATAATGCATATGTAGGTATAGAGAGAGTAAGTGGCTATAAAGTCAGTACTAGAGAATGCAGCTGATAGTAGAAAATGGATAATTAAGAACTCAGAATGACTAAAATAATAAAAATACTTTATGGCCATTAGTGACTTACAAACTTCCATAACTGAAAAGTATTTGATAGGATCAGAAGAGTCAACATTCATAATTATACTTTTTTTTTCCAACTGGCTTAGAGGATGTTTCTGAACCCCAGCGTGGTGGGGTGGGAAGGGACCTCTGGAGATCATCTCATCCACCCCCTGCTCCAGCAGCTCACCCACAGCAGGGTGCCCAGGGTCACAGCCAGGGGGGTTTGGGATCTCTCCAGAGAAGGAATCCCCAGTTTTGTGCAGGTCCAGAGACTGAAGGGCTGGTCTGCAGGTGGAAGGCAGAGTCACCCCATGACACCACACATGTCCAGCTCTGAGTCAGGAACATTAATCATCTGCACAAACCAAACCCCCTGCTTGTGCCATATTGGTTCATACACCTCAGACCATGGCAGTCTTCTCTGAGAAATGCTGTGTTACTGTTTGAAGTGAGAGGACCTAAATTAGGGGTTTTAACAGTGCTCTTTGTACCTGTGCTGCCATTTTATGCTCCATGGCACACGAAGAGAGGGTTTCATTTCCCTAGTGAGCACCAAAGATGCTCAGCAACTGCTTATTTACTGCCATGCTACAGAACCTTCCCAGGGAAATCCCTTTCCCTGCTACTCTGACTTTTACAGACACACAGAAGACATGTTTACAGTGAGAATCAAACTCCCCCATGCTCCTCATGCAGCTCCTTGCTTTATCCCAAAGGTCCTGATATTTTGCAGCCATTCTGTGTGGCCTTTCTGCTACGTTGCACCACGGTAATGAAAAACCTAGACATCAATAAAAGGATACATGTTCTAAAACTGCACCTCTCCACATCATTTATTAAAGCTGTTCAGAAGAAAACAAGGTCTCAGATTATCTTCCTAATCCATTTTGGCATGTAATAAGAAAGATACTGTGCCTTGGGTAAGACTCTCAGGAGAACATCTGGCTTTTGCTTCCATGTCAGCAGTCACATGTGATTATTTACAGTGTCATTTCATCTTGAACAGTGGTCAGGGAGTCATAAAGAGAAATGTTTTGCCCAGTAAATAAACTCATTCCAAGTTCATGGGCAGATCAACAAGTGGGAGTAAATTGGGGGGGAAAAAAATATCTAATTAAGCTCTAGCTGATCCGTGAGGAGTCCCTTATGAATGGGAAAAAACAAGAGTTCTGCAGTCTGCTTCCAACTCTCTTTAGCTCATATAAACTTGTGGTGACAAGATTCACATTTACATTTGAGGACTGTTTGCACTCAGCACCAGGGCAGCACATGCTCTGAAGGTCTGGGGTTGGATTCCTTCCCTTCATCTGTGGCTAAGAGTGAGTGGTTTCTTCACTAGAAGAGTCACTAAAACTGTAGTCACTCAATGAACCCAGAACATAATTAATCTCTGAGTCATATCGAAGCACATTACAAGATCTGCAAGAATTTTAGCTGTAATATGTCAGCAAAATTTTGACAGAGAGTCTATGTTTTTTCCATGCTGTCAGGAGTGTGCCTGGTGATGGGCAGGATTGCATGGAAAAATCTTGGCTCTACAAACAGAAGTACTAAACTGTGATCATCTGCTCTTCCACTCCCCTCATCTGCACACACCATGAACAGGCAACGTGTAGAAACTCCTGATCTGCTGCAGTGAGTGATAATACACTGTGTAATTAGAGTGCTCCTGCCTTTTCTGGGGGCTGGGGCATGGAGTCACCCTGACTCAGTGAGGTACAGCACATCAGCTGTGAATCCCACTGCAGGGGGAGAACTGCCACCAACATCTTCTCCCAGAAAGAAAAGGACCAGGAGATGATGTCTGCATGACATGTAGGTAAGATAATCTATTCAATTGAATCATTTTGATAACTGTCCTATAGGCAGCATTGGAGTCTACACCTCACAGACAAGTTTAGATGTTGCATTTTGTCCTGCTCAGTCTGCAGGATGATGAATTTCATGCCCTTAATGAAATTTATGACCTTACTGGTTTTTAGCAGTATTTACAATGAGTTTCCAGAATGCTGCTTGGCCTGAGGGATTGAAAAGGAAAATATTTGAAAATGTGGAAGAAGATGAATCCATACTAACCTGGGTTGCTCTCTTGTGGGCACCCTACAGTCACACCTGAGTGTACAACTCTAGATATTGTTTACTTGCTTTCGTCACAGAAGATTTCTTAAAATTAAAAGATTTTCTAGCAATTACAGATAATCAACATGATTTAGACTGCTTGTGTTATTGTAGAATTGTTTTGGTTGGAAGAGACCTTCAAGACAGTCAGGTCCAGCTGTTCCCCAGCAGTGCCAGGTCCCCACTGCCCCGTGTCCCTCACCCCACATCTCCACAGCTTGGAAACCCCTCCAGGGGTGGGACTCCACAACAGCCCTGGGCAGCCCTTGCAGGGAAGACATTCTTCCTCATGTCCAACCTAAACCTCTCCTGGTGCAACTTGTGGCTGTTTCCTCTTATCCCATCTCAGGATTACAGAAGAAAGTGAGTATGAGGGACGGGCCAC